TCGTGGGTATGTACTGCACATATTTTTACAAATCCTACCTAGATGGAGGACACTATATTACTTTGAAATCCTTTAAGCCCATGAACTTGTTTTGGGAAGTTCCTGTATCTCTCATATATGAGCATTTCTATTAGAATATTTTGTTTATTCGACTATGAATTCTGCCCTCGCTTAATACCTTCAATTGTTCCATTAGTTTTGTTGGTAATAAATAATTATTCCTTATGCCCCTAAATCATCTGTCAAATTCTGTCATGCAAAAAATTCTTGGGCAAACTCTTGAAAAAAAGGCCTATATTCTTATATTTATTTATTATGAAATATTTTTTATGCCATGCAGACTTTACTATTTTTTTCTCCCACTTGCAGGTTTTCTGTTCCGAGTTTTGGGCTACTATACAGGGCATCCTTTACTCGGGGCTAAAGTTGTGGCTGCTTTGCTCATGTTTGCAACAGTGTCTGGTATTCTTATGGCACTTTTTCTGAACACAGCTGGTGGTGCCTGGGATAATGCAAAGAAGTACATTGAGACTGGAGCTCTTGGAGGCAAGGGAAGTGAGGCTCACAAAGCAGCTGTAACTGGAGATACGTAAGTTACTGTTTATGCTACTTTTGTTGTATAGTAATGTCATTAGCATGTCATCAGCCATTATTATAGTTATGACGTGTGGGTCTCTGTGTCACTTTAATAATTTAATTAGGTTTTTGTTTCTTTATATCTGGAACGTGGCTTGCAGTTGCTTTAGTTTCATCGATACATTTTCACTATTCAGCTAGTGGCTAGGGTTGGTGTTTATTATAATATACCTGTGGCATGTTTCCGTTGTCTAGCAGCGTTGGTTATTGTGTCTGGAGTCCTTTCTTATAAACATATATCTGGTTCTCTTACAACTCTTTTCCATCTTTTTTTTTTTTTCTATCTACCTCTACATGTCTCAACTATCACTTATCAAATCTATCATTTCTTCTCTCCCTTCATCTCCCCCACTCTATTCCACCCCAAAATGGGGTGGATGGGTGTTTACAATTTCTCATGTTTATGCTCATGTGTCTGTTGCAAATTGCAATGCCATTACTGCCATTGTGGCTCTGACCTGTGGCCTCAATGTGCAGTCAACCATCAGAGCAGTTTCATAATCTTCATTATGCTTCCCTCTTTAATTAACACCGCCTCTATCTTTACCTTCACGCAATCATCATGTTGCTCCAGCTCAGGCTTATCGTACATGCTAATGTTTCCCTATTTGCAACAATGCCAAGCCACCTGCTGGCTGCTGCTGCTGCTAACCCATTGTCACTGTTCTGACAAGCGCCTTAATGCCATTGCCTCCAGCGCTTGCACCGGATAATCAGTGTGGGAGATAGCATGAATGCTTTTCCCAAAATTGTCATTGAGCATGAAATTTGAGTTCTATGATTGGCTAATTGCTGATGTAAAACTGGCTACGTGTAGTTTGTTTTTGGAAATGCTTTTAATTTGGTAATAGTGTTTGCCTTCTCTATTACGTGTTAATGATTTATCGTTCTGTTGGTTCACTCTTTTTGTAAGTCTGAAAGATTTGATTAATTTGGCAGTGTGGGAGACCCATTCAAAGACACAGCTGGGCCTTCGCTCCACGTCCTTATAAAGATGCTCGCAACAATTACGTTGGTAATGGCTCCAATATTCCTGTGAGAGTTGTTGATATCTCTATTGCGGCCTCAAAAGCATACTCGCGCCAATTTGATTTTGATAATTTTGGAAGTATAGGGATAGGTTGTATGAATCTGTGATGTACATTGACGAGCCTGATTATAGTTACAATGCATTTTCTGTCCTTGATCAGAATAAGAGATATTAATTGACTGAACATATGGAAAAAATAGATTAGAAACATTCCCCATATATTTTTGGTCTTTAAATAAGACGATGTCTACGTGCTCCTTCTACGCGTTGACCAAACCTCCAATTCAAGTGCGGCGGCTAAATTAAAGTAAGTATCATAATGTACCTAAAAACAATTAAGGGATTACATTGCGAACATATGTGTTCAGTCGTTTCCTCTCGGTCTGGTGCTATCAAGTACTGGATTTAAATTGAGGCGATGACGAGTAAATGAGTTAGATTTCGGTGCACAAGTCCTCTAACCCGGAGAAATTATTTTGATAAAAAAACTGATTTTATTCATTGACAAGAATTTCGAAGCTATGAACTTCCTCAATTGAGTGTTTTCCAAACACTAATAATTCATTCGGATCATGCTACCTGTACGCAACGTGAGATGTGTACGTATAAAACCGATTTTATGGAGAAAATAATAGTTTTTTTTTTCTTCTAATTTTTCTTAAAGTGCAGAAATAAGATCATTATTTTTTAAACAATATCCATTAATTATAAACACCAATCAATACCTATTATTTCTCTCTGTCTCTCTCTCCCTCTCTCTCTCTCTTTTATTACATAATATTACCTATCATTTTTATTTTATAAGTAAATGACATTATCTTTTTTCCAAGGGACATTATAATGTTATTGTCTCTTATTTTAAGATATATAATTTAGTTTATTTAATTTGGTGTTGTTAAAGTAAATTATACTCCATATTTTTAATAAATGCTAGTATTACACTATCATCCATTCATATGTTAAAATGTTGAATAAATTACACTTTTATATTTAAAGATGTGAGTATTATGATAAAAAAAATATTCTTTATAGGACTTTAAGATGTACTTTTGAATAAAATATATGTTAAAATATTTTTAATTCATTATCATTTATCCACTTGATAAAAAGTTATAAAATAAAAAATCAAATTTAAACTAATTTGTTAAAATAATTATTTTATATAAATAATATATTCTTGATAAAATTATTGTACTCAATAATTCATTATGTATCTACTTAATAAGTAATAACTCATGGTATATGTTGAATTTTAATACTCCAATTATTAAAGTAAAAATTCTTAATGTATGAATCAAGTCTACAAATTTTTTAAAATTTGAAAATGATATGATATTTTGTTATATCAATTCAAATCAATGTATAAAATATTTTTATAATTATTCATCAAATTGAATTAATGAAATAAATTATTAAATAGTTTTTAAACTCTTTTAAAATTTGTAGACTTGATATATGTATTAAAAAAATAATATAATAATTAGTTCATTGAAATTCAAACATATATCATGAGTTTTTAAATAGTTTTCAACTTTTGACATTCCAGATTCTATTTCAAAGGCTTATTGAAAATGAACCTTTTGAGCTGAAATTATGCTCGTACAAGGAACAATTTGCCTAAACTGCTTCAGGTTCCTAATATACGAGGTGAATTTCTCATAAATCATTTACATTCAATTGGAGTGTCATGGATAACAATGAAGTTAGTAATTAAATAAATTGTAGTTCTGCATTTATGTTTGTAACTGTTATAGTTCTGCATTTATGTTTGTAACTGTATGACAAAGTACTCAACTTTTTGAATCTATTCAGGTTCAGATCATGATTTGACTGATGATTCACATCCTGATCTTATCAGGATAAGTAAAAGTTCTATTCTTGGTAGTTATAAATTGTTACTTTTTTCATTTTTTATTTATAATCGTTTTGATATTTTTTTTTATCATTACTTTTCTAAAATTAATGAATTATTAATTTTTTTTATTTTTATCTTTGATAATTAATGTGTATTTATTGAATAATGTATTTATTCATTTTTAATGTATTTATTTCTTCTCTAATCATCTAAAAGGTATAATAAAAAAATAAATAATAAATATTTTAAAAAACTAAAATATTAATTATTTTCTTAATTTTTATATATAAATCTTAAATGTCAAAAAAAAAACGAAAGGATTACAAGTTAGTAATATGTTCTTAAAACGGTACCCTTCATCAAATCCATCAATTCTCATTGTCTACTTGAAACACTTTGCTGTTTGCTTTCAATGTTTTCTACGAATTGTTTTCAATATGTTTCTTCTAATGAAAAAATACTAATATGGATTATCATTAGCAAATATGTTAACCATTGTTTATAACATATTCTGGATACCGTATGACAATGAGAGCAAAAATGTTTGTGTTATCTAAAATGTATTCTTCTTCCATTAAAATTGTGAGTTTCCAAGTTGCTTTGTGTAACTTCCAATATAACAATTGTTGAGAATTATTTTTGCTCATGTTAAGATATAAATAAGATTCTACATCAATAAAATAAGAAAATATAAATATAAATTTATAAAATATACACATATTTCAATAATTAACATATATTTTTAAACAAATTTTCATAAAATAATTTCATCAAAGATATTTTTAATAAAAAATACTTATATAACATAAAAAGAAATATTTCAATGACAAAAATTTCACACAAACTAATTTATATCCCAACAGTCTCAGTTGTGCTCTTATTAATTAAAATATAATGAGAGGTTGTTTTAATTATTTTTTCGCTCTAAAATAATCTCATTTGAACAAGATATTTATCAATTAATTCATTATGTTCAAATATTTGACATTTTCACATATTAATAAAGAAGAAGACCTACTTTTTTTTAAGAATAAATTTTAATAAACTTATTTCATTCAATAATTCATGTTTTATATTAAATTTTAATAATTTAATTATTAAATTAAAAATTCTTAATTTATAAAAAAAATTGATTATCCATCAATTTAAATTAATAAAATAAAATATTAAATGATTTTAATAATTTTAATAATTTACAATTTTAATTAATGTGTTAAAAACTTTCTCAATTGTCAAATTTTAAAATTTAATTTAAAATTAAATTATTAAGTAAAATAAATTTAGCTTACTCTTGGTCGTCCTCATTAACAAATACTAATAGAGGATTTATATAAAGAATTACTGTATAATAAATTTACATTTTGTTTTAAATCTTTCCACTTACAATTGTTTAACCAGTTATTTGTTTTGTTGTATAAATGTTTCATTTCACTTACAATAATTAAGAAGTTTGCAAGTATTTGAGTGTTATATAAAAATAAATTTGAATTTGAAAAATAAGGCAGAGAGAGTTGAGAGTTGAGAGTTGAGAGTTGAGAGTTGAGAGTTGAGAATTGAGAATTGGGAATTGAGAATTGAGAATTGAGAATTGGGATGATGGGTGGGAGAAGCGAAGCCGGAAAGGGTGCAATTGTGTTTGTAATTGGGAGTCTGATATACTATCACTGCGGCTATCGCAATTCAAATCTTCTCTCTCTTTTCTCCGATCTCTTCATCGTCCTCCTCTGCTCCCTCGCCATTCTCGGTCTTCTCTTTCGCCAAATAAACATCCAGTCAGCATTTATTTATTCTCAATTCAATTTCCATTTCCATTTCCATTTCCATTTCATTTCTCTTAGGGTTAGGGTTTCACTTTACACTTGCACAGGGTGCCTGTTGATCCCCTCGAGTGGCAAATCTCTCAGGAAAGCGCCAACGCCATCGTCGCATGGTTCGCCAACACCGTGGGCGCCGCCGAGTCTGTCTTCAGGGTCGCCGCCACCGGCCATGACAAGAGGCTCTTTCTCAAAGTCATCTTCTCCCTCTACGTCTTGTCCGCTATTGGAAGATTGGCTTTGGGAGTTACCGTTGCCTACGCTGGTAACTAGAACGCTTTTTCTCACTCCTAAACCCTAAACTAATTATCCCTCTTTGCATTTCTCACACTCATTCCTCCGCAGGACTCTGCTTGTATTGCCTTTACATGTTCGCCGAATCCTCTCCAACCATTAGCTCCGCTCTCGCCTCTTTCTTAGGAAGAAGAAATGACACTACCGAAGATGATGATGAATATGAAGAAGAACAGGACACCATCATGTAACATCTCTTTCCTATATTCTTCTCAACCTTATAAATCTATCCATTATTCTCAATTTAAACTCTGCTCATTGCTGCACTTTTCTTTTTCAGGTAAGCCCTTCTCAGCTTTATTATCATCTCACAATTGTTCTTCTATGGGGAGAGGAACTCAAGACAATAGTTTTCGCTGTTCACCAAAGGAAAATGTTTATAAATACTGGTTAAGGTATAAAAATGTATTATTAACATACTTTCTCCTCTAATTTAATGTACTTTTATAATGATTTCTGAAATAAACTTTTTAGGATATTCGTTGGCCAGATTTAAAAAAAATAAATAATAAATAATCGTCAACATTGCATTTGGGTTCTTTTGATCGACAGCTTTTGAATGAAACTTCCTTAATGTGATAAGTAAATGAAATAATGCTCACATTGCGGAAGATCATCAACGTGCTTACTAGTTCGTCAGTCATAAAGATCATGACTACTTTAATAAGGATGGTTCATTTTAGTAGAGGGGCGAATTCTCATGTTAATTCTCGTTATTTTAGTATTAAGAAAATGTCTTAAAATAAGTTGTTTTTAATTTTTAATGTAATATTAATTATTTTTTTTAATTTACTCTTTTATAAATTATTTATCGATCATAATTTAAAATAATATATTTATTGAGAATAGATTATTTTAGCAAAATTATATGAAAAAATAATATATTTATTGTTGTTAAAAACTTTAAACTGATCTCATTGTAAAACAAAGACATTATGTTGCTAATTTTGGGGTGCGTCTAATTTAGGATGTTTCTTACCCTCCTTCTTGGGGGATGGTCTAGAGTGGTTCTTAGTTTCTACTTTAAGGAGATATCTCTAGCTAGATATAAATTAAAAGTGTTTTCAAGAATTTCTTTACTCATGTAAGCATTTATAAGTTTGTACTTCTTAATCTATTACTTTTGGATTGAGTAAATCTTTTACAATGATTATAGGCGTCAGTATTAACTTTTAATTCTACAAAATATTCATATTTTTGGTATTTAATATCAATAAATTGAAATAGTTTATAAAATTAAGGATTAAAGCATTTTATTAAATAAAAATAAACGAATGATGCTTACACTGTAGGTCCCAGAGGTGGATTCCAAATATTCCTTATTTTAATCATTAAATTTTCAATTTTGTTCAAATTGATGAAATATTTTATATTTGACAAAACCTACTGAAGTGATTTCTTTGTCTCGAAAGTATTTAGTCTCTAACTTGTCGAGAAGGCATCCTTGAAGGAAGAAAAAAACGCATACAGTATGGAGAATCCTTTAAGGAGGATGGTTCTGAGTTCAAATGTTAAAATGCACAAAGGTCTTTGAAATTAGAAAATCCTTTATATTTGGACAATATTCACGATAAAGTAAATATAATTAAACTTGATCCCATCACAAATTACAAATGAAGCGAAATGCATATAAATGTAAAACAAAAGTTAAACCACCGGTGTTTGGTAGTGCTAATAGACTACAAATAAGACTTATGACGATAGATAAAACAGTTACACGTTACAAATTCTATTCTGAACCGTTAAATAACTAAAATGTGCATGAATCAATATCAATAATAGATTTTATATTAAAACATAACCCAATGAAAATAATTGATTCTATGTTGATACGAAACGAACACATAAAGATGTACAAAGCTGTATCGAGAGTCATTATGCATTATGCAATCGAGGGATTATACACTATATATCCTTTATTTTTACCTAGATCCCCGGATTACTCATCACTGATCAAAAAGTAATACTGGGAAACATACATGTATGTGTGCGAAACGTATCTAATAAGTGGGTTAGAATAATTGATTTCATCCATGCAACTATTCGTTTTAATTATACTGTTAAAAACGTATTATGTGTGCACAAATCCGCTCCGTATATTGAAAACCATTCTAGAGGAACATTAACTCAACCGACACAATTATATCACAAATCAAGATGGAAAGAAACAATGAACATAGGAAACTAATCCCAAACTCATTTGATAACCTTTTTCTTGGATGGGAATCTTCCCAAATCAATATCAAAATCTGGAAACTTACAAGCTAGGTAACTAACGAGCTAGCTAGCTGGCTGCCCTGGCAAAGCAACTTTTCTTGCCAGGCATTGAGTTATACCATTCTTATAAAATTCAAAAGAAAAAAATGTAAATAGTTAACTACCATGACTTGTAGAGCTACAAACTCACCTAACCTTATTATTAGACTAGTAGGAATTACTATTCTGGACAAGCAATATGTCTTTCCATGCTTCATAAAACATCCAGGTGATACCAGAGGAAGGCATGACCTTTAAACAGCTTGCACCCCATCCCCTATAGAGACCCTTCAGACCTTCTTCTCTAATCACTTCTGAAAGTGCTGCTGCCATGTTTGGTGGGCACTTACCTTGCAAAGCACCCACCATCAGGCGCTTCCGAGCCACCTCCAATGGGAAGCTAATTGTACTGGCAGTAAAACCTGGGTGAGCATGAAGAAGTCAGATAGCACAAACCATATAGATTACCAAGAATAAAATATTCATTTTCTACATGCATAGACATAGGACACATTAATGGGGTTAAAAGGTGCATTAAGTGACACAGGCAAAATACACTGCCGGGTAAATGAGGTCCACCTATCAAATATACTATTAAATCTAGTACATCTTCTCACGCTTGCACACCCTCTCTTTCTCTCCCACTGTCTTTAGGTTATAAAAATAAGAGAAATCAAATAGCAAATGGTTACTTTTCCATACAATATTTCATGCTATCATTTGCTTCATACAACATAGGTGTGTGACAGAGACAGGGCAAGACCAAGAACAACAATAAAGGAGAAACATAAACAATTAAGTCTTTTAACAAGTACTACAGAATCTCTAACCTGCTAGAGCTCCAAGCAAAAGCATCTCTGGACGAGTTAGAGATTTCTTATTTCTGGTCTGGCAGTAAGTTTTCTTCATCGTATCATACATGAAATAATAACATGTACTGTATGGAAGCATGCCAATTAGAGTTGGTGAGATACCAGCATAAAAAGCGCCAACACCACCATCTTTATAAATATTTCTAATGGCAATACCTAAACTAGGGTAGGCTTCAGGACTTACAGTTAGCCGGTCCTGTTATAAAATATCAGAAGATAACAAGAGTAAGAGACAAGAAAGAAAAGCTTCAATATTTTCGAGCCATGGTCATCATTAAACAGTACAACTTATAAATATTGCAGCATCAAGCCTATGTGCATCTTGATATCCCAATACAAAACTAATATATACTCCATTCAATTTAATATAAAGATTATTAGTTTATTAAACTTTTTACATAATATACCTTCAAAACTTCCAGGGGATGGCATACAAGTGTGCTAGCAATTCCTGCAGCTGCACCAGCCAGGGCAACTGGTGAGATCCAAGATAAAGATAAGTCCATATTGATGCAACCTATCTGCAACTTGGGGTGTTCATTCTGCTTCCATTTCTCTTGCACCGATGTCATTGTCCTTTTCACACACTCAAATGTGCCTAGCTCAATGGCCTGTGTTGGAATTATTCGAAGCATGTTGATCATGTTTCCAGCCCACAATCCTTGCCATCCCTGCTGCTCTATAACCTGAATGAAACTACCGGTGATATTTTTAGACCCAACACCAACTACCATTCTTGTCCTGCATTGCATAGTTCAGAGATCATGAGCGCGGCAATGTGTTTAAATAATGTATAACATTTGAAAAAGGGAAAAGGGTGAAAAACCTGATGGTCTCAAGAGGAGCAAGTATAGCCTTTGTCATTGCCCCTGCTAGGGCACCGCTGATAAACTCGCGAACCTCTCTAGAGACCAACAAATTCTGAAATCAGGAGCATAGAAAGAGGACATGTAAGTACAGAAGCTAGGTAGCATTGCATAAGCATAATGAATTAAGAAAGCGGGTGCTAACAGGAAGTGGGGGAAGCTGAAATTGAAAAGCAAAGGTAGAGTTATGATGATCAATCTCCAAGTCTTTGATGATGCTGTACACGTCTCCAAACACTCCCTGCCCATACTTGTTTTTCTGCGATTGGGATTCCAATGCCATGTTAACAGACAGATACCAAAACCTACTGATCCTGATCCTATTCTTCTATGTAAATAGATACAAACTAAGCGAAGATATTAATGTAAACAAAATGACAAAAGAGGGAGTGATTGAAATTGAATTGACATGACATGCCTGAGGCTGAGGCTGAGGGCTGCAGAGTGAGAGTGAAGAAGGGGGTTTTGCCTTGGACGATGACATTTTGTTTTATTTGGAGGTTTTGTAAATTTGTTTTTTCACTTCCTTGCTCCTTCACAAATCACAACAAATTAGGGTTCCTTTCAGCATCCAACATATATAAATAGAGAGAGAGAGGGATTGGTAAAGTTACCCTTTTTACTTTGAATTTGAAGTCTCGGTTCAAAGCGCTGTTATTCTGGCTGGACATGAACATGAACCCATCATATTTTCGATAAAATTCCATTCTTCAGATATTTTCCTTTTCTATCGATAAATCCAAAATGTCCCTCTCGCGTCACAATTCACATGCTTTGTATTTCTCACACCACTTAAATACTCAATACCACTATAATTAAAAATAATTAATTACTCTTTTATTGTATTTTATATTTAATAATGAGATTTGAGATAAAATCGTATTTTTAACCATATCTGATCCAAAATAAGGTGGAATTTTAGTACCAACTTCATATTTAAACTGAAGATCAAATTCCAATCTTTAATTAATATATATACATATTATTTTTATTTTTTTAATCTTTATAATTATATAAAATTTTCATTTAGTTTCTATAAAAATAAATGACAGAAACATAAAATGATGTATATTTAAATTAACAAAATATTTTTAACTATAAAAATCTATAAATAGTATTTTTAAAATTATGAAAATAAAAAATAATTAAACCTTAAAAAAAGTTTAAATACAATTTTCTTTTCCGAATTTTCTTTGGAATTATTTTAACTTTTATATTTGAAATTATAGTATAAAAATTGAACAAGTCGGTTGGACCAAGAGTCGGTGCTGAAACTAAAAAAAACCTGTGAACTTGTGTCATGTTTTCAAAAGGAGAAAATCTAAAACTTTTTTTTTTTCAAAAGAAAATTTTAAAAGAATGTCTTTGTACATTGTAAAAGGTGTATTTTTAAGTGTTATAAATTGGATATGAATTTTGGAGGCTGATGTTGTTTATATTTTCTTTTTTTTAACTTATTAATAGTGATGTGTTATTGATTTTAATTTAAGGGGTGTATTGGATTATGATTTTAAAGGATTTTTTTAGTTAAAAAAAATTCTGCGAATTTTAAAAGACTTTGCAGGATTTCCATGACTTTTAAGATTTTGCAGGATTCTACAAGACTTTAAATCATGATTTTAATGGATTCTGCAAGACTTTTAAATCAGGATTTTAATAGATTTTGTAGGATTTTGTAAAATTTTCGTGGATTTTTGACATTTAATAAGATTTCAAAAACAATTTCATACATTCAAATTTAAAAAGAGTCAAAGACAAAAATAATGAAAAATAATAATGTCTAGATAAATAATAATAATAATAATTCTCCATAATATCTTATCCTCTTAAATAACATTCACCCACATATATTCATAGTTATACTAGTCCTCCAAGTATTAGCGTCTTTTCGCTCTTGCTCCTGAGTTTGAATAATAGGTTCAAAACTATGATCTTCGTTAACTTGTAACGTTGAAGATGAAGGTTCATCCACCGCTTCAATTGGAAATTCATCAGAACGACATTATTTACATAGAAAGTAGAAAGTTATGTAGTGTTGCATATACTAACACAATTTCTGCTTGTGTTTTAAATAAAAATGGAGGTGTTGACTTGAAAATTGTAAACCTTGATTTAAAAATACCAAATATTTTCTCGATCACATTCCTTAAAGACGCATGACGAAGATTGAACAATTCTTTCTCATTTTTAGGGTCATTACCCTGACCTGCAAAATCTTGTAGATATCTTACATCTCGAAATGGAGCTAAAAATTGGCGTCGATTAGGAAATCTACAATCCACCAAAAAAATATTTACCTAATTACATATCCAATATATATAATATTAGTATAATAATAATAATAATTATAATAATTATTATTATTTAAAGAATAAGCATTTAGATATATAGAATATATATATATATATATATATATATAT